TGTTTAGATTATTCTCTATCATTTGCGTGCTCACTCCATTATAATCTTGAGTGATTCACGAAAAAGTTTTAAAAACTAATTCACCCCCCTCTTGATTAGCCCATCTTGGGTTTACATTTTTATGACACGTTTTTTGTGACTACAATAAATAAATAAATTTATAATAAAAAAGTCATCAAATTCAAAACATAAAAAAGTTGGAAAAATTATAATTATTAAATTCGTTTAAGAATTGGAAAAATTGGATACGTTCAAGAATTGATACATGTACAACATACCTCTCTTTGAGGTTCAAAGTAATCCTAGGAACAACAGCTAAACTTTGTTTACAACATGAATTTTTACATCAATTCAAACCTTCCTATACGAGAAATAAATAATAACAACCAAAGATTGTGCCAAGTTATATCTCTTATGATGGCCACCAAATGAATGATATTTTCTTACAAACAGGACTTGCAGGAAATATGTGTACAGGAAAAAAAAAAAAAAAGAAACCTGGTGATCACGAAAGTGCAAAGAATTAACTCTCGAAAAATTTCAAGGCCATGGGATTTTTGTTAAACAGATGTGCTGCTAAAATCGAAAGCATCAGAACAACAACTGTCACGATTGTGAACGTTCTACTACAACTCCTGGTTTTTACCATTCTCTCTGCCTCCACCTTCGGAAAGGAATTTGTTTCATTTTTTGCAGAACTGGAAGCCATATCACTCTGATCTGGAGGCACGTCCTCTGGTGATTTGTCCGCCTGATTCACATATTACAAAGACACGTGAAAAATCACAAACGTATAAAATTCCAAAGCTTTTTGAAAACTGACTGGCTTCAAATTTTGATCCACAAATTCCTGTGCATCATGAATAAATTGCTATTTAATTTGCCCCAATGGTTGCAAGTTAATTTCTTTCTGTTAAAACTTAAACTAAAGCTCAAGAAACAATTCAATAGGTGAATGGCATTCCTCAAGACCTATTCTCAATGTCACTTGGTGTGTGTGTGAGAGAGAGAGAGAGAAAGAGAGAGAGAGAGGTTTTCATGTCAAGTCAATAAGCAATGAAGATAACATCATTAATGTCATCTTAATGGGACATTTGGCAAACTTTGACAATAAAACTGAAGAATCAATTACAAAATTGGCTGCAGAGGCAGAAAATATCGTGGATCCAAGCCAATTGTGTCGCTGAAAATGAAAGAGCAAGGATAATTGATAAAGAACAGCTGAAACAGTATCCGTGAAGCTATTGCTTTACACCATGAAGAGGACAAGAATCTAATTAGTCAAATTAATAACATGCTAACAATGTTAACTTTTCAGTTTGATACTACCACTCAGAAGTCAAACAAAAATTATCGAAAGTAGTTGTTCCCACATTTTATCAGTATATCCCAGAAAACTGAAATTTGGTTCCTGAGACGTGTATCCTGAATTGGTAGTTTCCTATTGTTGAGCCTGAGATAAACATTTGATTGTATGACATGTTATTTGTCACTTTAAGACCAGGATTTATACCTGTATGTCTTCAGTCGTAATATACATAAAACCAGAGAAAGCTTTAGGGGAACTCAAAGAGGTAAACCAACCAGAAAACTTTTGGATGAGAATGGTGTAGTCATTTCTGCTGGAAATTTTGTGGAAACAGCATCAAGTGAATCAAGCCCGGACGATGGGAATTCTTTATTGTCACTACTGGTATTGTCTGTCTGAACTACAGTTGCAAGCTTCTTTGCTTCCTGGAACTTCTCTCTCAACAATTTGTTTTCCTTTGTCAAAGAGTACAACTGCATGAAGTTCAGATGCATTAACTATAGGCTTTTTAGTTTCCAAATATCTTTATTAAATAAAAATGCAAACATCGAATTTGGTTCACTTGCAGACAGAAGTATAGGATAAGAGAGACTGGAAGCGCCAATAATGGAGAAGAAGGTAGACAAAAAGTAAAGCACCTGTTTCTGTATTCTCTCCCTTTCCAATGCCAGTTGCACAACCATATCCATAATTAGCTCGGTTTTGATATTAATGTCTTCTGTACTTGATTTTTTCTCAATGGTCGCTTGGTGTATAGAATTCTCCAAGAATTCCATCCTGGCTCTCAGAAATTCTAGTTCTTCATTAAGTATAATACTTCGGTCCTCGGCACTCTCAGTCTTACTTTCAGCCTTGGTAACTTTTTGTTTCAGTTCATCAATTAATGTTTCCATGTCCCAAATTGCAGAATATAGCATGTTTTGCTGCTCTTGACTTGCTTCAGAGGATGCCCTAGCATGCTGCAATTGGATATCTAATTCCCTCAACTGCTTCTCGAGCATGCTAGCCTTTTTTGTATTGCTATCATTACTAACTTTCAGAAAACCTAGTTCTTCTGTCAGTTCCAAGTTTGTCTCTGTTAAATGAGTAACTTTGGTCTCTGCACTTTCAGCCCTACTCTCCATGTCATGTATATTTTCCCTTAGGGACTGGCTTTCACGCTCCATTTCTTTTAATTTCTGTTGACTCGTTTCACTAGATGCATTTGCCTCCTTAAGCAGGGACTCGGTTTTGTTCAGCTTTTCCTCTAGCATTTTAACTTGTTCTCTTACACGAGTCACTTCAGAATTATCAGCGATAAGCTGTGAAATGCTGCTGTTGAGTTTTCCAATTGCAATTTCTTTGTCGTTCAATTGATTTATGCAATCCTGGAGTTGAGATTTTATTTCTTCTTCTCTCTTGGTTGAACCATTCAGATTGATCCAAACAATCTGAAGCCTGCCCACCATTTCTTTTGAAATTCCCATCAGCACTTCTGCTGTATTTTCCGCCTCTAAAAACCTGCTCCAAGCAACCTCTGCTGCCTCTTCCATGCATACAGCAACTTGTTCTGTTAACCGTATCTTCAATTTAAGATCTTCCTCATTTTGTTTCAGTCCTGTTAATTTCTTCTCAAGTCCCAGCTCTCTTGCAAGAGATTTTTCCAGCATTCTTAAAACACGCCTTTGTTCAACTGTCTGCATTTGCGGCTTGAACTCTGTGCTTTCTAAACGAAATTCCTCTTTAAGACCGTTGACCAAGTCATATTTCCCTGTCAACAAGCACATTTTAGTGTAAAATGATAAACACCGTATACTTGTGGTATGCGTTTAAGACTATATTAACAAGATTTTAGCATATTTTTATAGTTAAGACTGTTTAGTACCACAAAATCCTCCCTATCAAATATGCCATTACAGTAAAATAAAAAGTAGATTGGTTTACTAGTGCGATAATATGTTATATCTTACATTCATTTTGTTTAAAAGAAAATGAGGTCATCTGCAACTTGGCTAATTGGATCTTTATCTCCAGGACTTGCTCTTGTGACTGTTTTAGTAATTCTTCGGAATCACGCAATTTACTTTCCAGCCCAGTAAGCAATTCTGTTGGTTGTCCACAAGAAGATATCTCATGAATGGCATTGACAATAGTATCTTGAAGATCACCCATTAGATTGTCTAGTTCTCTCACCTCGGAACATAAAAAAGTACACAACAGATCAAGCGTTAAAGCCTTTTCAATCAATTCTGCAGATATGTTATCATCCTCAACAGGTATTGATCCAATATCATTTTCCCTGAGTAAAACGTGCAACAAAAGATTCTCTATATTTGTCAACTTTTCAGAAGAGTGGGCTAAGGTCATATCCACTTCATATGAAACTTTCAGGGCATTTTGTACACCTTCCATGTCTTTGGTATCGTATGAGAGACTTTCATGCATAAACTTTTGCATGTCGGGATTGGCAATATCAGAAGTAACAGCAGCTGTATCGTTCATCATTATTGCTGTGGTGTACTGATTGGAAGACTGTAAATAGAGAAAAAAAAATTTGTAATACAGTCTATTCAATTGGAAGATGAAGAAACATAATCAAGAAGGTGTGTATGCATCTATTCAGTACATTATATATTAGAAAACATAACCTTTTCCCATCATAAATTGACAACTAGAGAAGTAAATGACATTATCAATGGAATGTCTCATCCAAAACAGTATTATACCAATTTCAGAATCAGGTATTTACCCTTTATTTAACTTCCACTAGTTTCGGAAAATGGAAATTTATCTTAGAAGGAAAGATAAACAATACAAAAAGAAGTCTTATTTCTAATACATTTAGGGTCAACTACATGCATCCCTGCTTTTGTAATCAACGTAGGCCGTTGTTTTTGTTTACATCTCACTCTTCCAACCTATTCCATTGGCATGAAAAGAATGCAGTTTGTCCTCTCTAGCGCGTCCTCTAGAAAGAATAAAGTAACAGTATATCCAGTAAGTACCCCTTGAAATCCAATAGTCTTGACAACCCCCATATGATTATTTGAATCTTTAGAGTAACTATAATTGAACATGAGTCTCGAAATATTTCAGATGTTCTAAATAATCCTGCTTCCTGAACCATTATAAACTGAAGTCTATCTTCTCTTTCTACCAATATAACCATACAAGAATACTTTAAGCAATGCCTAACCGTTTCATACATGTTCCATAGTTAAACAGACAAGTCCACAAACAATTCAAATATTTCAAACTAAAACCTGATAAACCAATCTTCCACCTTCAATCCGTAAAACCTTTAAATGATGATAAAGTATTAGAAGCAATTACATATTCTAGATAAAAAAATATTCAAGAATGACTTCCAACCCTTTCAGTCATTTCACAATCAGAAAATAAATCCAACAAGGCACTCCTATATCAGATGCAAGTTATGTTGTTTATGAAGGCACACTTTAGATCTGCAAGAAGTCAGCTTCAAATATATCAGAGAACCTTAATTTGTTAGACATGATACAACATATCACCTCTCTGTTTATCGCCCTCCAAAGGGATAACTCATCCCATGCTACCTAATCTCCAATTATAAATAAAGTTGATATCACGCCACTACTTACACGAGTAAGCTCTTCAACAATATCACAGGAAGAAGGGAACTCTTCAATAACATAACGTAAAAGTTATGCAAACTATTTGAATGCAGGACATAAAGTTGTAATTCAGTATGATATGAGAATTGCAAACGAGTGCTAGAGGCACACAATGATATCAAAGAATGCTCTCTCGGAAACCAAAAATGCTTAGCCAAATACCAAATCAATCCTACCTCTGAATGAAAGAAGATAGTAGGGCTACCAAATTACAATTCAATTAAAAAAAAAAATTCCAGAAAACATGACACAAAATTTACCAAATACCAATACTTTGATTCAACTTCTGCAGTAGTTTTTTCTAGATATCAATATTTCGATTCTTTCTCACAGTTTTCACACGCAACAGCAAATGAGTAAATCTCGATTATGCATACAAAATAGTGAAATTTACTTAATAAACAAGAAGGAAACACAAACCAACAAGTACTTCAAACTGAAATTTAGTCGTTTCGGTATAAGCTTCATCTTTACATACTAAATCAATTATGAATTTTCAAGTTCAACATAAAACCAAAACTGAGCAACTCATAAGCAATCTCAATCAAAGTCAAAAGTTAAAACCAGTCCAGAATACAACAAAAAATAATTTGTAGAAAATAATATTTCTTCATTTTTCAGCGTAATCTCTGATTTCAAGAACATACCTTCAGAATATACCTAGTGGTTCTTCTTGAATTCTCAACGTGATAACCAAGGAATGGGTTTGATACAATAATTGAACGTAAAGGGTGGAATTTGGAAAGTTTAATGACACAATTGAGAAAAGAATTAAAATAACGTGACTCAATTGAGTTTTCACTAAAAGTTCTGTGACTACAGATGAAATTGATCCAATAATTAAATCTAGTGCGTGTCTTCACAAAATAGAGGTAAGGCAAATGCTAAAATGTGCCGTGCGTACATGATAGGATCCAACGGTCAACTTTACGGAAGTAGGTGGCACCGTGGAAGGAGTCCAATGGGACCCGTAAAGGAGAATAAGCCATTCTTATTGTGCCACGTAATACAATTATTGAGGCCAAAACAACATAATGACAGGTGAGTGCAGGAAAAGCGTCAGTGGGGACGCACAACGCTCCTCTGCTACGCGCTTAGATCTCAGCTATTTTAAATTTTGAGGTGTAAAGAGCAAATAATAATATTTCAAAGAGGAAAGTTATAAAATGATTAAAATCCTCTAGCAAGGACAATGATACTGGTTAAGTGACGTCTAATAGTTGAGGTGTCAAAATGGTTGGTCGAACTTCTTTAAGCACAAATTGACGTGCCCTCACAGGCTCTTGAAATGATTGGGGAGAGAAAAAATTTCATTTTTTTTTTCCGAGCACTCTAGATTAAGTGGAGACGGTGCAAGTCTTATAGCTCAAAGGATAAGACATAAGAGCTCGTGGATATGAACCGAAGTATCAAAGTTCAAATCCCTCCTCACCCACAACCAATCCAAATGGGAAGCACTTTCTTTATGAGAATTTCCTCCAGGGTAGTGAAATCATGATTGGGATAGTAGACCTCAATTATGACTTAAGTTCTCTCCTACTTTACACTTCACACATCGATAAATGTGATTCCACATCTTCTTAACTCTAAGGTCATGTTTGATAGGCTGTTTTTTTAAGGTAAGTTAGAAAATAAGTTCAATTTCCCACTTTTTGAGGAGTTTGATAAGTTAAATTTTTCAGTCAAAATATTTTCTCATTTAACCCTCACGTGACCTATTTTCCACCAAATTGAGGAAAGCATTTTCCCTCGTTTCAGTTGGGAATGAATTTTCCCTGCAATTGGAAGAATTGAAGAAGGAAACTTCTTTCCCGCAAGCTACACCTATTTCCCTGCAATTGGAAGAAGCAAACCCTTGTCTCTCCCGTAGCAACGCCATTTCCATTTCTCTTCTCTCCACGCCAGAAGCCACTCCGGTTGGTGGTGGAGGAACATAGTAATCTGGGGGGCATTTGGGTCTTCCACCACTGCCAGACGACGGCGACGGCGGAGAATACCCACCTGTAGGTGGAGAGGGGGGAGGGTGAAACCCAGAATTTTCGGTATTGATCTCTAGTTTTTTTCTTTAGCCTTTTATTAGAATCCTTAACATCACTCCCCTTCTCCTGTTTAGAGTCGAATTTTGAGGATAAATTGGGTTTCTTAAGGGCGGGTGCAGTAGACGGTGGGGGAGTTAATTGGAGGTGGGATTGATGCGGGAGGAATTGGTGGAGAAACTGGAGGTCTGTTCTTCTGCTTTTTGTGTGAATTTTTTGTAAACTCGATCTCCTTTATTGTGTTAATTATATTGTGAATTGATTTGTTTCAAGCCTTGTTTCTTGTTCTGGGAGAGTTGGGCGGCGGTGGTGGGGATGAGATGAAACTGGTGGCAGAGAGTTGGCTGGGGGAGTTGGGTGGCGGTGGTGGGGATGAGATGAAGCTGGTGACAGAGAGTTGGCTAGGGAAGTTGGGCGGCGGTGGTGGGGATGAAGCTAGTGGCAACTGGCAGAGAGTTGGCTGGGGGAGTTGGGCAGCAGTGGTGGGGATGAAGCTGGTGGCAGAGAGTTAGCTGGGAGTTGGGCTTGCAGGTGGTGGAGAATTGTTGGAGTATGAGGAGGCGCAGGCGGCGTTGATGCTGGAGGATGAACGGATGTTGTCGGAAAATTTTTATGAAGTTTGATAGTTTAACACAAATCATCATAATTTTCCATAGAAAACAAAGTCGATCAAACACCAAAAGATGAAAAATCTCAACATTTTCTAGGTAGAAAATTATATCAATCAAACGCAACTAATTGACGTTTCCCGGAAAAATAAATTCTAGGCAAATATTTTCCCTGGAATTCGTTTTCTTTCCACCCTATTTTCTATCTTGCAATCAAACGGACCCTAAATGAAATTATTAGTGAGTAGGAAAGTGTTAAGTCCAAATTATTATTGGCAATTTCTTAGTTAAAATCATTTCCTAGTTGAATAATATTAGAAATTTATCAAATTGTAATTAAAGTCAAAATAGGAGTTATTTAGTCCTAATTATAGCAAAAGAGTTGAAATTGGTAGTTTAGGTCTTGAAGGAGTCCAAAATGTTCATGATCAAGGGAATCCAATTAGAAGTTTAAAGAATGTCAAATAGCCGTACAAGTTATGTTTCAAATTCTCAATTGCAACTTACAACGCATTTTTCAAATAAAAAACATTGGAATTTGGACAGTGCTATATCAGAAGAATTGTAACCATTTAAGTTAGCTTTTCAACACATTTTGAATCACCTTAATGGGATATCGTAAGATAAAGTTATGATAAAAATAATGACAACTACTGAGTTGTTGCTCGCCTTTCGCTAGCTTGGCGCTCAAGCGATGGGTCGACGTTCAGAAATCTGTTTTGCTTCAAACATTTGGCTTTTCAATCCTTTTTCATCCCAACACTTTTCCCTATATATATCATACCATATGGTCCAAAAGTGTGTTGAATCATATTTATTTCATAGAGATCATTCATTTGAAGATCCAAAACATTCATTGATTCCAAGATTCAACTATCACATATTATTTGATCCATAAATTCATCGAAATCATATTTCGTTGATCAAGTCATATTGTTTCATATAAAATCACAGATCAAAACATACAAGATCTTTTGATCAAATACCAAACCACTTAATCCACCGAAAATAAATCGATACCATGGATCGGGAGTTGTTGCAGAAGCACAAATTCAGGAGGATTAAAGTGAGGTACCGGAGTCGGGATCTGGCGTCAGGAGCACGCAGTCCACAAGAGTCAAGGTATAAATCAAGAGTTCATTTGTTTTGAAGGAGCGTACATTCAATGGGATCAAGGGAGACCGTAGGAATTGAGGTCAGAAGTTATACGGGGTAGATGAGTCTGGACCGTTCTATAAGTTTACTTTGATTTATAATGGATTATTGACTGACAAATTGTCCAGGGTTTTTACTTAGTTGGGGTTTCTCCATGATCATCTTTAGTGTTTTTTATTGATTGTGATATTCAAACTTAGAATGAATTGACTTGTTTGATCTATCTATCTAGAAACAATTAAAAATTGACTTGTTGCTTTTAATTGTATAATTTGGCACGTTATGTCTAAATATTCAATAATTTAAAACTTTCAGAAAGGTTAAGCACAAGCTGATCAGCCTCACGGGCTTACAACGGGAAGTAAAAAGTGACGAGCTTATTTATAAAAATTGTTTACATATAAGATAATTAATTAAGATAATTAATTTTTTTTTTAAAAAAAATGGATTCAGTCGATAGGGAACATTGAGGACTAAATTAATAAGCCTCTTTGGTTTTCATTTCTTAAAATTCATTTTTTCTCAAATTTTCGACCACACGTTATATAGAATTCACGATTTCATAGATCATCCTATTATTTCTATATTTACTAAGCCATCATTGGATAAATTTATAACTGGTTCATAAAGAAGAATGGTAAGATGAATAGTAGTGGATCTCACGAAATGTGTGAGTAATATTGAGTAGTAGTTACGAATATTTGACCGAATTTATAAATCATTTATAAATTTGTTTGTCAATCGAAGGCTAAGGGGCTTGTATTCTTTTGATCCATTATAGTGAATCACTTCGTTCCTTTTGCCATTGTCTTCTATTTATTATTGCTCTAAAAAATAGGGATAAAATCTTAATTCAAAAGTATATATGTTACTGCATAATGCATAAGCATAATCAGTCAATTGTCTTCACAAGAGAAAAAAGATGGACAAATTTTGCAAAAGAGTTATATAAGATATATTCTGTGCTTAATAATAGCAAAGTTTTTGCTGTTAAAATCAGAGAATTACATGGTAAATGTATTGTATGAAGTTGGCATTTTGTTTAAACTCCTTAAGATTTTTTCTGCCATTTGCCTGGTGCATTCATCTCCACGGTGAAATGCACTGACTAATGTTGCAGGAAGCAACCTGTCCTGTGATATATCTGAAGCAGATTTATCCCCACCTTTCAACAGGAATCTCTCTATCACCCAAAATGACTTCTGCAAAAGGGCTTCCTCTCTATGCTCCTTCACTATATTCAGTACATGCTGGATAGCGCGTTTTTCGCACAACAAGATCACACTCTTTTCAACATCAACTTTGTCATCCAACAATGTGCATAGAGCTGATAATGCTGCCCCAACCACCTCCACGTTCTCATGGTCGAGGAAGGCAAGCAGCCTTTCATCAGCCTTGGCGTCGAGTAAGCAGAATGTTTCTTGAGTTGAACAAACGCCTCTATGAATAGGGCACAATGAGAATTCTTTACTTTTGGATGATTTTGGTAATGAACATTGTCGGAAAATGAAGAATTTCAGGATCTTGTTTTTCTTCATTTGTGGAGGCTTTGATAGATTTACAGATTGTTTGGACAGATTCTCCAGCCCTATTGCTGATAACTTGTGAACTTCGTCTGTATATGATTTTGTTAGTAACTCTGTCAAAACTGAGGCGAAGTTGTAAGTCCTTGCTAGAAGAAGTATTTGATGATCATACAATGTTGTTGTTAATCTGACGAGAATTCCCACCAGGCCTTCAAAATAAGCGTTTGCATACCTGCTCGATCTCGTTCCAGTAATTTGTATCTGACTGATACTTTTTATGATTGTTGGAACAATGTTACCGTTGACCAAAGCTAGGTTGAGTGCGAGGTTTTGGTGTGGAAGTTTTGCCAAGAAATTGACTGAAACAGCATCCTTCTCTGTGATTCTTGTAATTTCAGTTGGATTCTGGATTAGACTCTCGGGTTGGCCTCGGGTTTTGCATAATCCGGTTGATAGTGTGTGTCCCATGAAGGCTGATAGCGTGATGAGTAGCTTGATGGATACAAGCCCGAGATCTTCATTCGGGAAATTTATCAATTCAATCAAATTAAAACTAGCTTCTGTCTCCTTGATCACAGAAACAATGGTATCTGATGCTTTAGGGAACTTCATCAAGCATAATAGGATTCTGATGAGATTGATGTTCAGCTCGTCTGGTGTTGAGTTTACAATTTGGTGAACGATGTTGTATACAATGTAATCTGAAGCCAGCGTGTGTCCATGCTCACTGACTTGAAAATCCACGAGCTCTTTCCCCGACTCGAGTATATTTGCAAGTATTCCAGCTGCCTCGGTTTTTGAATTCATTGGTTCGTTGTGAATAGTCCTTGTGAACATCTCCTTGACCATGATTTGGATGATACCAGCCTCAACGAGTATTTCAGCATTCGGATGGTAACGCGAGATTTTTTTTAAGGCTTTAAATGCAGCATTTCTGCTCAAAGAATTTCCGGTATGCACCATTTGGATGAGAGCCGGAGAAGCCTTTTCCGCCACATTGGTCTCGCTTTCAGGTCCAAGAACAATTTCCCCAAGATAATTTGCCATTTCCATTCTCATCTCTTCGGTACCTGTTCATTTAACTTTGACAATTATAATTGTAAGTCACTTTTAATTGATTTCCAAATTTTGCTTAGGCAGGACATTACCTTCAACAAGATGAATTAACAGGGGTTCCCAATATCCATTTTCTGCCATGAGCTTGATGTTATTTGGGAGTTTCTCCAAATTCTTCAAAATTTCGTCGGCTTTTTCAGAAGTGAACGCGTCGATGGACTGTCTGTACTTGGCTGTGATCAGCATTAGAATACCTCCAGCTATTGCCCCTATTTCATCACACAAAAATTGGGACCTCGAGAGCACGAACAAGAGTGACACTGATGCATGTCTAATAGGTCCATGATTACTCGACAGCATCTTTATTACTCTCGAAATATCAACTGTCTTGGCAATAATTTCCTGTTAAACATATAGATACGAATAATAAGAGAAATCATTTCAATGCATATTAATTATTATACACCACAATCAGAAGATGAAAAAATCAATGAATTTTGACAGTGATTGGGAAATTACCTTGCCCTCGTCGTCATCCTCAGCCAATTCTCTCAGTAGTTCCAAAGCTGCACATCTTATGCCTCTGCTTTTATGATTTAAAAAGTTAGCAAGCAATGGGATCATTCCAACGCTGCGAAGGTGTACCTTCTTGTAAGAATTTCTGTTGCAAACACTTTGTAGATCTTCTATTGCTTCGAGCACCATATTTTCTGTACTAGCCAACGATAAAGCTGCCCGGGCAACCTTAATCCTCGCAGTCTCATTTCTTTCCTTCCACTCATCAATCGTTGCCTTTAGAGCCACATTAGTACTCATATTTGAGCTATTTAGCTTCTGTCCTGATTTTGGACAGACAATTTCCTCAGGATTCTCGAACTTATGAAACCATTCTAGAATTTCTGTCCTCTCATAGGTCACTCCACTTTCTATTGTTACTGGATCATCCATAATCTTTTTCGTCAGAGGACAGAAGAATGTATCGTATAAGGGCTCCATGTATTGAGCCATTTGTGGCAAACTCATCAAGGATCCAGCACTCCAGCTTTCATAGTCATTTTTGTCTCTACTCTTTCTGCTTTCTATGTTACCTGATAGCTGAAGTCTCATTGCAGCAATTTCGATGTCAACAGAATACAAATCCGTGTCCATTTGTTCTCTATCTTCCCTTGATATGTCCACAGAGGACAGCATTTGAAGCTTCTCTTTCGTCTCTATAACTCGAGTTTGGTTAACTACAAAATAGGCCGCTTTCATCTCCTTGGAAATAGCCTTGGCTGCCTTTTCTGCGTAGTCTTGATCCTCGTACACTGATAATGGTACTAAACTGAGGTTGTCTCCTATGTTTCTCATCACACCTTCAAGTTGTTCCAGGATGTTTCTAAATTCAGACAACTGGAATGTGTGCGCATTCTTCTGTAATTTCTTCGCGAAGTTTTTAGCCCTATCGGCACTCATAGATAGAGATTGTAAAATCTCAATCACGTTTGTTGGGCTGTTCTTGTTTATATGAAACTCCGATATGACCATAGATGCCCGGTAAAGAAAGCAACCAATTTTGATGAAATTCTCCTTTTCTACTTCGATGCTTGCCACTGCTGAAATAGCTGCTAACACTGATTCAGCAAGACTTTCTATTGGATTCTTATCTTCATCAAGCTGATCAAGAAAGGATGAATTTTCTCAGAATTTTCTGGTTAGAGGTCCTCGAAAAAACTATTATTTTCACTAAACAAGTACATGAAACATTAGGCTTCTATTTCTATCTTCAAAACATGTTACAAAAGGATTTATGTAGTCGACCCTAAATTTGTCGGGAATAAGATTTTGTTTGCCTACAGCTTAGAAAACCAGAATGAAACTGATAAGTACAGAAATTTGAGGCTAAGAATAAATCAGTGCATACCTTGGACCATTCAGAAGGATTGTCAGACATGATCTTTTTCCAGTATGAAAAACTTAGGCTGCAAATAGTGAAATGTTCTCTCACTTTACTTATTTCAGGAAGATGAAAAGCTTAACCTGCAAACTATGAGGTGCTTCATTAACTCACTCCAGGAAGACATTTGAAGGGTTGACCATTGAACCAGTCACCTATACTTGTTTGTATATATTTCCATCAACTAAGCTTTAAAAGGTCTACTTATAAGTAAATAAGTCAGGTAGAAAACAAATAAGTTATTTTAATGGCCAAAGTTAGAAATAAGTAATTATTTCCATCAACTAAGCTTTAAAAGGTCTACTTATAAGTAAATAAGTCAGGTAGAAAACAAATAAGTTATTTTAATGGCCAAAGTTAGAAATAAGTAAATTACTGAGTTTTGATATGGTATTTGGCTTAAGAGTTCATTCTAAGTAAATAATCGTTAGTGGTATAATTTCACTTCACTTAAATGTCAAAATATAAAGATATAAGGTACTTCTCTTATCAAGATTGTCCTTTTAATATGAAATCACAAGTTTTAATATTATCATAGTATCATCCTAAGCAAGTCTAGTTGTCGCCCATTTTATAAAATTATGCATGTATCAAGTTACATTGAGAAGAAAAAGAATCCCGTCCAAACGAGGAGGTGTCTTGCAAATAACATTTAAAATGATTTGCATGTCGTCTTATCTAATCGTTTAAACTTTTAGCTCTAATTTTTTTTTTTTAATTCAGAAGTAAAAAAATGTAAGATATCCAAAGTTATTTAAAAATAAACAATTACTCAATAATTTTTTTTTTATTGACAAATATGAATAAACTAGGTGCAATGCACGTTTGCATAGTTTATATTTAATAGTTTTGTTTAAGAATTAATTTGTTATTAATAAAGATATAGTTTTTTGGTTAATTAAATAATTAATGATGTAATGTTTATGTAATTGATAAATAATTAGATGTGTGATTTTGATGTTGTGATGTAAGTTAGTGAAATCGAAGAAAATAAGTAAAAGTTGACAAATTTGGAGAAATGACTAAATTGTAAAGGATCCAAAGTTCGGGGACTAAAATGTAAATACTTTAAAGTTATCCCGAACCTCACGATGAAGATTTGAGAGTGGTCTGAGTCAATTGGATAAAGGAAGTCGTCAATGGAATCAAATTTAGTCAAAATATGATTACAAATCAATTTCCAATAGAAAAGTTATGCTCCGATATTTTAGTCTCATATTGAGACCTATTTTTGGCATAAAATGTGATAGAATTGGAGAATGATGTCTGAATGAAAGTTGTAGCCAGATGAGTTAGTTTTTCAACGCTACCTCACGATGAAGATTTGAGAGTGCTCGGAGTCAATTGGATAAAGGAAGACGTCAATGGAATCAAATTTAGTCAAAAGATGATCACAAATCAATTTCCAACCGAAAAGTTATGCTCCGATATTTTAGTCTCATATTGAAACCTATTTTTGGTATAGAAAGTGAATTGGAGAATGATGTCTGAATCAAAGTTGTAGCCAGATGAGTTAGATTTCCAACGCATTTTGAATCGCTTCAATCAAATATCGGAATACAAAGTTATGATAAAAATACTGAAGTAAGATGCAGCTGCCTGTTTAAAACAAGAAATTCCGTTACATAGTCCGTTAAAACAACAAATTCCGTTAGTTTTTCCGTTAAAAACAAGAAATTCCGTTACATTGCCACTTTTAATATATAGAAGATGCGTCTCTTTATAACGGCTTAAGGTTTTGAATGAAAAGATTCAACTTGATATCGAAATAGACAAATATTTTAAGTTCATGTATCGATGCTATCTATTTATAAAATTTATAGATAAATTTAGTTTTTAGCTATACATGAAAAGGTATAAAATATTAAGAATAAATAAATTCTCACTAATAATTTTAATTTTAATTTTTAGATGAGAAAGTTCTATAAAAGAAATTCTCTCCTGCTTAGCCTATGTTTGGCTTTCATGTTTTCAAAAACTCATTTTCTTCCAAATTTCATTAAGATGGAACCCAAACAAGAGCTTAATATTGACAACCTAAATTGAGTTTGTATTATACAAGTTGATATTTTTGAAGAAGGGGTAAGTAGCATATAACGTTCTCACTTTACATTGTTATTGTGGAAAACGTTCATACATTTCATTTTTCGACATTTTCACCTTTATTTCTCTATTTCATTGCTCAAAAAGTCATTTTCATCTATTTTATCAATTAAAAATTATGAAATGACAAATATAACATCTTCTTTAAATAAAATAAAAGAAAAAAGAAAAAACTAATTGCAATCATAGTTTCAAATTTTTTAGAAAAGCGCAAATGAATATCAAATAAATTATTAAAAGAATAATTAGCACATAATGTCCATACATTTCACTATTATTACCAAAAAGTCCATACCTTTTATTTCATTTTTTTGGCATTTTCACCGTTAATTACACATTTAATTGTGCAAATCATTATTTATATCCATTTTCATCCAATTTCTTAATAAAAAGTTGTGAAATTGCGAATATACTCTCATGTTTAAATATAAAAAAATAAAGAATTAATTGCAATTATAATCCCAATTTTTTTTAAAAAAAGTGCAAACGAGTTTCAAATAAATTATTAAAAATTTTTATTTTTTTAAAAATTGCAAACGAGTCTCAATTAAATTTATTTAAAAATTAAAAAAATTAAAAAGTGTAAACAAGTCCCAAATAAGTTATTAAATATTAGAAATTTAAAAATATATATTTTATTAAAATATGAATTTATATTCATTATTTCACAATTCTTTATTATTTATATCCATTTTCATCCAACTTCTCAATAAAAAGTTGTGAAATGGCGAATATACTCTCATGTTTAAATATAAAAAAATAAAGAATTAATTGCAATTATAATCCCAATTTTTTTAAAAAAAAGTGCAAACGAGTTTCAAATAAATTATTAAAAAAATTTATTTTTTTAAAAATTGCAAACGAGTCTCAATTAAATTTATTTAAAAATTAAAAAAAATTAAAAAGTGTAAACAAATCCCAAATAAATTATTAAATATTAGAAATATAAAAATATATATTTTATTAAAATATGAATTTATATTCATTATTTCACAATTCTTTATTGAGAAATCGGATGAAAATAATGGTTTGCGCAATCAAATGTGTAATTAAGGGTGAAAATGCCAAAAGAATGAAAGGTATGAACGTTTTTCGTAATAACGGTGAAATGTATGGANAAAATGAAAGGTATGGACATTTTTGGCAATAACGGTGAGAAATATGGACATTATGTACTAATTATCCTTTTAATAGTTTATTTGAGACTCATTTGCACTTTTTTTAAAAATTTGGGAGTATAGTTGCAATTAATTTTTTACTTTTTATTTTTGTTTTATTTAAAGAAAAGTGTATATTCGCCATTTCACAATTTTTAATTGAGAAAATAGATGAAATGACTTTTAGCGCAATGAAAAGTGAAACTAATGGTGAAAATGTCAAAAAATAAAATGTATGAACATTTTCATATAACAATAAAAGATGTGGACGTTATCTACTAAAGAAATATATGAAGTACTTGGTCAGGTCTGCGAAAGTCATCGATGGTACCATAATACTAAAATTTGTTTTGGGTTAATTAAAGATTTCTTCTCAATTTGAAATATTTTAACTAAATTAATGGCAGTGACGTGAAAATTTGATTGGTGACAAGGTCAGTTTCATCATCTGCATTGCTTTTGTTTATATCCACTTACTTGTAATTAGACTTTGGACAGCCTTAGAAAAAGATTGACGTGGTTTTGAGTAGGCCATATATGAAGACTTTCTTGATGACCCGTTCGATAGATGTTCTACTTTTCGTAGAATAGCTTTTTAAGAAAATTACTTTAAGTTAATTTTCTTTAAAAGTTTTTCTAGTCAAATAAAACACTTTAAAAAAAAATCAAACATATTCAAAAGCAATTTCTTTAACATCGGAATCAGTTTTTGATATTTCAAAAGCTATGCCAAAAGCACCATGAGAATATGTTTGCTTTCTTTAAACATAATTATAAGTTAAACATTTAGAGTCCGTTTGATTGTAAAAGTGAAATTTGGGTGGAAAGAAAATAAATTATAGGGAATTGAATTGCCTAAAATTATTTTCCTAGGAATTGTCAATTAATTGTATTTTATTGGTATAATTTTCTACTTGAAAATGTTGAAATTTTGGATCTTTTAGGGTGCGTTTGATTGCAAGGGTGGAAAATGGGCGGAAAGAAAATTTTTAACATGGAAAAGATTTGCTTAGAAAATGTTTTGCAGGGAAAATGATTTTAAGTGTGTTTGATTAGTATAATTTTCCACCCGAAAATTTTTTTAATTTTCTATTCGTTTGACTTTGTTTTACATGGAAATTGTCCATTAAAGTTATATTTTTTTCACAATTGGTTATAAAATTTGTTTCCATTGCTAAAAAGTAAAAAAAAAAAAAAATTATTTCCTAAAAGATCATTTTTTTTTATCAAAATTTAATATTCGTTTGACTTTGTTTTATATGGAAATTGTCTATTAAAGTGAAGAAAAATTTTACAATTGGTTATGATATTTGTTTCCATTATAAAAATAAATAAATTTGCATCAACCGGTTGGAAATGCTGGGAAAATATTTTCAATGAAATCAAGGAAAATGCTAACGTGACGGGTGGGGTGGAAAAATATTTTTCGGGGAAAATTTAGGCTATCAAACAGCGCAAAAGATGAAAAATGGAAAATATTTTCCTACTTTCCTGAAAAATATAGCCTATCAAACGCGCCCTTAGTGTTCGTTTGACTTTATTTTTCATGAAAATTGTCCATTAAATTGATTTTTTTTTTTTTTACAATTGTTCATAGAATTTGTTTTTATTGCTAAAAATAATTTTTTTTTTTTAAAAAAAAAAGACTGTAAACCATTTTCCCACCAAAGTGGAAAAATCAATTTAACAAAAACAAGGAAAAAGAGACCACGTGGGGGGTGGGAGGAAAAGGGGCCT